GCTAAACCCTTGGAAACGGAAATAAACACAGGCTTCCACACAGATATTCAGACACACTCACACAGATACTAACAGGTCAGTATCAGTGTTGTTGTGACCAGCAGGTAGCAGTGTGTTGGCCTGCTTGTCTGGACCCAGATAACGGCAGATCCATTACCCCCTGGAAGCTGAGGTCTGATCACTGGGCAGATAGAGCCGCTCACTCACTGTCTGTGGACCTAGCCGGTTAGCCAGCCTCCACCGTGGCACTAAAGAGGATCACAACAAGGGGCCAAAGGAGGGCAGACCCCCTTCTGTTAGAGGAAATTGTCAAATGCACGTCCTCCGATAATGCCTCTCTCGCATCTCGTGCAAGCCGGCGATGGTAAAGATTGCCGTGGTTATGTCACATCATGGGACACCTCAAAATGGCAGCTGCTGATCATCTTATCGCTCGTTGGAGAGATTCAAGTCGTCTCAATTATAAACGCTAAGAGAACAAACTGAAATATGAAGTTTATTTTCGTTATTTAGCCTTTGTCTCAAGCACAGTGCGGTCTGTGTTATTATAGAATGGATTACAGTTTGAGAAATGCGCTCCTTTGTTTTCTTGCTTGAAGAGTTACACGGAAAGATTTATGCTCCTCTTCCAGCTGAGCCTCGTGTGCTGTTCTCCTGTGTTTGCTGAACTTACTGGCTTCTGGCTTTAGCTTATTTACCAGAAAAGATATGACAGTGATATCAATCTATTCGTCTAACTTTTGGAAAGAGTCTTTCCAACAAGTGAAACTACAGCGTTAAACAGATGCACCTCACAGACACAAAAAGACTTCAGATGCTGTGAATCTCGTCACGCATCAGCAGAGACGAGAGAATATCCTTAACTCATTTAGCTCATTTGCAAAACATGGAGGCGGCATGGATGGATGCAGGGTTAAGAAATGAAGATGTCGCATATCAATCGTGTAAGTTCATTAGTTACAAGTGAACCAAGAGAAAACCTTGTGTTTGGGAAAGACGGGATCACGAAGTAATGTTATAAAAGTGGCGTATTGCAGCCGTCACTGGTCGTAAACGTTTCTGCTGAGAGTCGCTGTTTCAGTGGAAGAGCTGGATTCTTGGCTCATTTTTTGAAATAATGACCAAATTCGCAGTCAAATTTTTTGATTGTAGCTTGGAAGAACGATTGCAGTGAATTTGGCCTATTCATGAAGAAGCGTGTGCTGATTTGGACGAGGTGATGGCTTTTGTGGATCAGCAGCTTCAACACAATGGACTAATGCAACAGCATCGCCGCTTACATCAGCATCGCTCTTCTGCGTATGACATCGGCGGGTATTTGTGATGAAGTTATCATTTTATAATCTCCGAAAATATTTTGTCTTGTAACTTTGCGAGGCTTTGTTTCGCCTAGATGCTCCACTTTAATCTCAGAGAACAGCTGAGCTTTTTCGTGACTGTATTCTCTCTGAATATTACCCTCGCTTTGTAATTTTTTTCAGCCTACAATGGGCCTAATACGTGTCGTGGAAATGCGGCGCTGATTATTGGCTGGCTCGGTGGGGATGGAGAGAGAGCTGAAGGAGAGCGACGGTGGTGAGGAGTTAGCACTGTGGAGGTTTTGTGTATCGGGTTTGTTTGTGCGGAAGAAAAGGAGAGAGATAGCTGTGGCAAAAAGGGCAGCAGCTATCAAAAGCCACAGGCTGCTTTAAACTCCACGTCTGTTTCTTTTTCTATCTTTTCCTCCTCTTTCTCTTCTCTCTCTTTCTTTTTGCTTTTCTCTCCCTCCACCTATCGCGTTCTCCCTCTCTCCCTCTCTCTGCTCCCTGGCCATGCTGATGATTGACGGCCTGAGGGTTTTAATGGGCACTGGAGAGCAGGAGCTGAGGTCGGGGTTGTCATGGCAACTAGGAGAAGGGGCCTTTTGCTGCTGCTTCACCTGAGTACTGTGGAGCCTCGTTGGCTGGCTGAGGCAGGCAGGCTCGCGCGTACGCACACACTCACTCGCCACACACACACACACACACACACACACACACACACACACACACACACACACACACACACACACACACACACTCGTCACACGTACTTACATGCCAGCACCACTTCCATTCACTCTTCCTCCTCCCTCTAAGATGTCCTGCTGTCTATCGAGCTATCTTCTCTTTTCCTTTTTCTCATTCTTATTTCATCTTCCTATTTTCTCCCTCCCTCCCTCCGCACGGCCGTTAAAGCGCTGAGACAAACCGCAGTTGGTTAACCGTGCGCACGTGTGTTTGTGTTGGTGTGGACGCATGTATGTCAATATGTACAGTATTCAGCCCATTGTTTTTGCTGCCCATTGTTCAACAGGAGAAAAAAGCGCACCACTGCACACTTTACAGTCTCGCGCCCTTATTTTTATTTTTCAGTTGCTCCATCAATATGGCTCCTAGAAGTACAGAAGCCCAAATTATGCACAAAGGAGTCCCTCACCAAAACCAAGTAACAAGCAGCGACTTCTTTTCGCAGTTCACACACTCCATCTTGATTCAGAAAACACTTTTTTTTTTAAATCCTGCAGTGATTATTAGCATAATCAGACCTAATAATGGATCCATTCAAACCCTCTCATACGCAAACACACACAGGCTCGAGATCTGAAACAACACAAATCATCTGCCACGATCATGCTTCTATGGGACCCAATCTGTTGCTTAGTCCAAACCCCATTACCTGACCTGACCTGACCTGTCGGACCCTTTTCAACCTGGGAAGCGATTGCTGACTAAAGCCCCGCCCACACGTGATGGTCGGGGACCTTTGAGGCTCTCATGTCCTTCACGGTAAAAAGTAATATTGTGAAATTCGGCTACATACCAATAGTGTGTGCTCATATACAGGACTTTTTCTTTCCATATTTTAACTACTCAATACTCTGTCATTTTTTTATGCATCTTCCTAAACAACACATCCTGATTTGCTCTGATGGTCAAAAAGACTAGTGAGAATTTCACGTTTTTATGTTTAATAGTTTTCCCCTTACTTGCACCTGTTTGTGTCGCTGCTGAATGGCTCTGGTCTCTGGTTGCCGAGTTGCTGCTCGTTGCTTCCTGTGTGGACATCGTGGTAGCCTCTGGGGACAATGGACAACTACACAAGACTTCCTGTTCCATCTGCTAATCACTGTTTACAAATACAGATGTACTTTAAAAAACTGATTAACTGTTTACAGACTGTAGCCAATGATTTTGAGATTGTTTCTGCGGGACATCGGTATGGTTCACCGGGTTAAAGCTAATACTAAAGCTAACTGCATATCTACCCCGGTCTTTCTCCCAGCTTTCTTGTCTTCTTTTCTCTGTCCTGTCACATGAAGGCTAAACAGACTCTTTGGGGCCAAAGACTTTGTCCCCCTGTCGCAGATGTCTGTGAGACTGAGTCTCATTTAAGACCTGAGTTATTTGGCATTTATGCGTTAAAAGAAACATTGGGAGAGTTCACATGCTTCCCAGGCCACCAGGTCACAGTGGAAGGAAGAAAAATGATGCTTAGCACTTATTATAAGAGGGGTGAGTGTCCATTTTTTATCTGTGTGCTGTATTCTTTATTTTAAGGTTTGGAAGATCCTCTTGACCTCTTCCTCTTCTTGCTTGTCTACTGTTGAGGCTGGAAAGAACTGACAGTTCACACATAGACCTGAGAGTAATATTGAAGCATCTGTACTAAGCTCTTCTTCACTGTCTGACCTCTCCTCACCCTCTGAGAGAGCTCTCCAGCTCTTCCTCTCTCGGCCCGCTTCCTATTGTTTGCCAGCCTTTTCTGTTTAAATGTCTCCCCTCTCTCCTTTATGCCTTTCTCTTTCCAGTTTTGGCTCTTGCCTTACTTCTGTCGATGCCACATCCGTGCTCTGTCACGGTTGTTTTCAGAGCCCCACAGATTCACACCCTTTTGCCGCTGCAGTTTTTGCATGCGCGATTGTGCGCGCCCTGCCTCGTGGCCCCGGGGCGTGCTAGTTAGTGTCTGGGCTGTGCAGGTCAGGCGAGGCACGGAGGGAAGTGAGCGGAGCTCCGGTTACAGTGGGGGAAGGGCTGGAGGAGAGCGCTGTGTATGTGCATTTGTAAATTATGTGGATTTGCATCCATGTTCAATAGCAGATATTGAGGCTTTTAATTGGTTATGCTTAATCAAAAGACCCATGGTTATAGTTAAGGCCGTTAGATTGTGTTCATCTTTAAGAGAAAGCAACAGTGACTATTTTGGTACACCGGTCCATCCTCCACAGCCTTTGGAGTAACAACATCTAGGTCGTGTCTGGAAGACATTAAGACGGGTTGCTTGTTAGATGTCGGGGTATCTGTGCGGTCTTAGCTTTTCAGTTCTTCTTCCACAGGAATCATTGCAACTTTTTTTAATTGCTCCTCGCATTGCCCTGGCCATGCCAACGATGTGCTGATGGTCGGCACGACTGAGGCAGCGCCACATCTGTCTCTTCTCCCTGATGTTTAGCATCATTATTACTGTGAGAGAAAAGATTAAATACAGTCCAAAATCAATACAAGTCATAGATGCATTCAAGTGACACATTTATGCCCTGTTTTTGTTTTTTGTTTTTTTTAACTTTAGCAGTTATTGGAAAAAAGTGCTGTCCATTCATAGCGCAACGGGGAAACTAGTTTACTCCAAACCCACAGAATTCCTTCCTTAATGTTCCCACTAAATTACCATATTTGCATTTTGTTTTTGTGTCCATCGATTGGTTTATCACAGCGCCCAGACAATCATATCTCCGTCAGATATCGTGAGATATCTGTAATTGCTCCATTTGCTCCAGAAAGAGCGCAATCAGGGTGAAAAAAAGGAAAAAAGTTTGATGGCAAATCATTTCCGAACAGCGCGTATCTCTTTCTATTAATTTCGGCAGACACAGGATTGTTTTAACACCTTGCCGATCGCTGATTGTCCCGTGACTGTGTGTTAATCCGCTGAAGGGAAATGCAGAGGCTTTTATTTTGGTTTTGTTGTGGTTGTTCTTTCAGAGCGCGGCCGCTGCTCCCAGTCCAGTGATGGGCAACATGCCACCCAATGATGGCATGCCAGGAGGACCCATGCCCCCGGGCTTCTTTCAAGTAAGAAAAATGACCTTCCGTCTGACTTCATCCCTCACCCACCCCCACAATCACCTCCAACCATCACCCCTCCCTTAGCCATGGCTAAGCCTATCCCTCTGTCTCCTCCTCCTTTTTTTAGCCTCTTTAGCTGTCCTAATCCCTGTCCAGATGTGTTCCCTTCTCTGTCTCTCTGCGTCCATCCCATATGTCTATATGCCCGGGATGTTAACTCCTGGTGCTCTGTCTGCTGCTCTAGACTCTACCCGTAGAGTTTTCTGTGCTTTCCAGAATATGAAATGCCTTTGCAAGTGAAGGAGGTGTTGGGTTTGCTGGGAGGGGAGGAAAAAGCAGAGTGAAGAGGAGGCTATTTTCTCTGGTCTGTGTTGCTTCACTAATTCCTCCTGTCATCACTGTTCTCTGAGGGCTGTCTCAAAGGCTGACGAGGTCACTCGCACTCTTTTCTCTGTTTCCGTCACTCTCTCATATTCAAATGAGGACATATAGGAGCCTTATTTGACACTGTGACACACATTAAACTCGTAACATTTACAAAATTGAGGTTTTAAAGTAACTGTACCCCCAAAGATATGCTGTGAATTGCTGAGGGTGAGAACAGGAAATCTGAATTGGCTTAAAGCAGCTTTTCTACAGCAGACAGTTTGAGTAAGAAAGAAGTCACCAGCAAATATGAGATTTTTCACATTATACCACGAGCAATTCAGGTGAAACGCCTACGGAAGGAAGAGGGCATTCATCCCCTGCAAAAGTTTGATGTCATTTAGCGAAACCCTGGACATCTTCTTGTGTAGTGGAGCCTTTAAAGGAGTAGTACAACATTCAGCCAACTCAGCTCCATTTACTGACAGTTTCCACGCAGTCTGTAGGTCACGTAAAGGAGCTGTCTGCAAAGACACCAAAGCAATCACAAGGTTGTTTTTGGTGGCTTTCAACGCAGCAGCCGAGAGCAACCCTTTCCCTCTGGTCTGTAACCGAGCGTTTTTCCCTAGCGACCATTGGTTGCCAAGGAGTTGCCGACCGGCTGCTGAATTTTATTGGTTAGAGTTCGGAAAAAGTCCTCTCTGTCCAAAGATAACAAAGCTCCTTCAATCGCTAATGCTAGCTAGAAGGGTTGTCCTGCTAACCATGTAAGATCAATAACTGTCAGCAGAATATTGAATATATAATATTCAGTCACCAGATCCCAGCCTCGTGCTCACATTGGTTGATATATATATATATATGTATGTACATGTGTATATATATTCTTTTAAATTTAATTAATTTTCCTTAAATTAATAAACAAAGATGTTTATTAATGCATTTATTGTTATTTTATTTTTAAAGTTTTATTTTTGAGATTTTTGTCTGTAAATCCCTGTGATGTGTAAGAGTCTTGCTAGCGTCTCAGCCATTTAAAGACTTTCTCCTGAGTTAAACATCAAACAGGATTCGGCTGACCAGGCAATGCAATAAAATTACAATACGTCTTTAAGAATAATACTTTACTTTATTAATCCTTTGTGAGTATAATTAAACATGCTCAGTGCTGTAAGCATGCTGCACAAATTTCCTCTCACTCTCTGTCTATAGCATACCTGATGTTTCCATACGTACAGTTTGAGTACAGCCTGTTTTTTCTTGTTTGATTGGCAGCGTGTCATGTTCTGTGTGTGTGTGTGTGTGTGTGTGTGTGTGTGTGTGTGTGTGTGCGCGCATGCATGTACATGCTGGGGTGGTAGAGAATGTTAATGATGTATGAGCAGTGAGCAGGCCAGGGAGAGAGCTATCTGATGGTGTTGCGTGAGTGACATTGCTTTCCATAAATAGACCCTGTGTGCAGGGCAGACAGACAGACAGACAGGATGGGCAGAGAGGAGGAGAACAAGGAGGGATGGATGCTGTATTCACTTTCATCTTTTCTTCTCTTTTCATCCATCCTTCTTCTCTTTCTCCTCCCCTCTTCAGCTCAGATTAGCTGAGCAAAGCAGGAAAAGGTGAAGAAAACAAGAAAACAAAGGTGCGAGCACAGAGCCTGCACAGTGCACCGAGACAAAATGCTCCCAGTGCCACTGCAAAGATTTCCCTAAATCAAGCTCACACTGTTAGTGGTACAACAGCATCCTTCAACATGAGCCAGAGCCGAAGCCCCGCTCATTGCTTTCTGTAGGTAGCTGACATTAATTCCCCATTGAACTAATGGCTGCGGTCCACGCTGAAAGTGCAGGCTGCTGAGAATTCTGCATTGCATTTGTTCATTCAAATGAAGGGGAAGCTGTTTCACCCCCCCCCCCCCCCCCCCCCCCCCCAAGCATCCAGTCGTGTCCTCAGTCACTCCTGAGATACGGTTAGTCGAGTGGACCACAGTCTTGCCGTAGAATTGTGAATGGATTACATCGAGCTAAGCAAAATTTCCTCGGCGTTTCGGTCATTTCTCATCTGAACTCTGGGTTGGCTTCCTTTCCCACCTTCTCCCTCCCTCACCTTCTCCTTCACACGCCAGGTATCCTTCTTCATGACATTTCTTCACTCTCTCCATTTCCCTTGTTTTTGAAACTATTATTTCTCACACGCCGCTTCAGTGACACATGCTTACTCACCGACTGTGTGTGAACTGCTCGTGTGTGCTGTGTGTGTGTTTTTTCCCAGTTGCTCTAGCATAGCAATTAACATAGGTGACCCCAACACTGCTATTGGCTCCAGTCCTGGGAGAGAGGGATGAGGGGCAAAGACAGGACACTGGAGGAAAATAGAGATGGGAGGAGGAGGGTCTTCCTTCATGTTATCCTAATGTGTAGCTCACAGGGTGAGCCTGGCATTCGGGGGTGGGCGCGGGGGAGGGGGGGGGCATCATTTAGGCAGAAAGACAGAAGAAGAAAGAGAATAGAATAAGTGTCTACACGTTTGGTGTGTAGTCCTTCGTCTCTCAGCAGAAGTCCATCGCTGCTGCATCATAGCCCTCTGGGGAGGGCAAGCAAAAGGGGAGATGACACGGGGGAGGAGGGGGGGGAGGGAAAATTAGGGACGAGAGGCAACAAGGAGAGATAGAGGAGGGTGGAGGAGGGGAAAAAGAAGAGGACAGTGAGATGTCAGGGGAGTCTTTCCAAAATCTTTTTTCTTTTCAAATGAGAAAATGAACATTAAATGATCTGAAGCGCCTCGCTCTCGAGCTGCTTCTGTGATCTACACACGACACGTAACGCAGTCAAAAACACAGAGCGCACTCTTGTAGGGGTGTAAACCAGCCGGGGTGGGGCATCCTCTCTCTACTAAACTGGAATTGTTCCTCTTGCCAAAAATAAAAATAAAAAAGAGGATCGAGAGTCAAAGGCTGTGCAATTTACGGCAGGTAATTGCAGCTCTTCAGGGACAACACGAAAAAGCACAACAAGAGGATTAGGTTTGATTACACATTTAAGAACAAGCAACCCAGGTATCAAAGGCAAATTTAAGAACCTGTTCAAAGCTGACACATGGCACGCACATGGCGAATTAGGGAGACATCTGCGCTCGGTAATTTATTTATCAAAGGTAAGACTGGGCTCGGGGTTCAGTCCGGTCAGTCGTATTACAAAGATGCAGATAAATAAGGTGAAGTGCTTCGGAAAGTGAATGACAGACTGCAAACCGTACAGAAGTGATTGAGGAATAGCATCTGAAATATTATTTCTTCTGTTAGGGCCGGCGCCGGCCCTTTAGTGGAGATTGCGGACTTTACAGAGGGATAATCACAAAGTTGCCCAAAGTTAACAAAGTGAGGTGTAACAGTGTTCAACCTCTCAACAAAAACCACCGACATATTTAAAAAGTTATGCAAAAATGTTTAATCTGCTTTTCTAACACATGTGAAAAAGCAGCGTGAGTGGAAGACACAGATGTCAAAGGACCCAGACGAGTCAAAACTTTCCGCTGAGAAGAGGGACTCTGCTTATCCTTGAGAGGACAGCCACAAAGATCATACCCAACAATTCCCCTTGAATGACAGACTTTAAAATGAGAAGCAGTACTCGGGAAAACCTTTTCTCTGCATCGTGTACCTGCACTTTCCTTTAGACTTGGCTCATGAACATTAATGATGAATGATAATAATGAATGAAGCCGTTTTCTCCTGCTGTTTATGCTTCACCTCCACCATCACGTGATTTCATCTGTTTAGAGGCAAACATCACATGTTTCTCTGCGTGTTGGTGAAAGAGCTCAGGTCCTGGTGTAGTATTGCTTCAGTATCTTTGTAGACCGTGTCTGCATGTTGTAGCCGTGCACTGCAACCAGAAGGCAACGTGCTGTTGGCTTTTTGGAGGACGGCATCACCTCGCGATGAACAACACGCAGAGAGCAGAAGAATGTGGGCGAAGCAGTGGCGAGCGGCGTCGCCACCACGTCCTGCCAAATCAAATCAAATCACTTTTATTGTCACATCACATGTGCAGGTACATTGGTACAGCACATGTGAGTGAAATTCTTGTGTGCGAGCTTCACAAGCAACAGAGTTGTGCATGAGCACACTTCCGCTATATTGCGTAGCAGCCCCCTCTCCCCATACGTGCCGATTAAGTTGGCAATACATCGCTGCTCCGTCTGGAAATTCACAATGGACAAAGAGCTTCTTTGTCGTTTCGTGAAGCTGAGAGTTAAAACAACGTAAAGTGTCCCTGCTGCCGTTGTTTGAGGTGTGCTTTTGTACTGCTTTGTGCTTAACTCATTTGTTGCTCCTTTCGAAAAGACAAGTTTTCAGCCAGTCAACATTCGACCAGCACGTAGCATCACGGCTGTCGTACTGCATGCTTTTGGCTTTTTGGAAACGTGTCCCTGCGGCCTCTACATTGGTTGAATTCCCACAATCCTTCTCACAGATCCACACTGGTGCACCAATGGTTGGGCAGAAGCCTTAAGCACCAACAGTGAAGTAAGCATGAATAGTTTTCATCAATTAAAAAGCAGGTGGCTCCATTTTGGGGAACTTTCCATTGATACTCATGATTACTGAGGCCATGCCTCTGGGAGGGGGGGGGGCATATCGC